CTTTGAGGCGCGCGTGGTACGCGACGTGTCGCACGCTCGGGTCTGGTTCAGGTCGGGCGGCGAGCCACCCATGCTCGCCGTCGGCAGGCCCGCGCTTACGGTGGCTGGAGATCGTCTCGCGATCTCCGACGCCCGGAGTGTCCTTCGCGACGGCTGGGTTGTGAGGAGGCAGCGCTTCACTGCCTCATTCGCCCCGCCTCCTCCTTAGCTAACGTGACTGCTTCACAAAAGGAAGAGACGGCAACCCAGTCCCCCTCGCTCCGCATCATGGTCCGCACTAGGGCCGGACGCGAGAGGTCGCCGTCGCCGATTATGTCCCTGAGGGCACTGTGATACTCAGCCCTTGTTCAGGAGGCTGGAAGTCATCAAACCTGCGTTCGAGATGGTTTGGGATGACCCTCGAAAACAGCTACATGGCTCAGAAGCGAGATGGGTCTATAGTTCTTCAATAAGGAGTTGTCACCCTCCTTGAAAAACGGAACCACTACTTACATTCCTTTGCCATGCTTTCGGCGTAGTTCCTTTGAGAATGACGTAATTGAAGAGTTTCTAGAGGACTAAAAGTATCGGTTTTCCACCCGCTCGCAGAAGTTCTGTTATGATTCCGTCATCACCCGGTGCTTTGTTATTTTTATCCTAATCTCGTATAGGCTGATGTCTGGGATATCTTCGGTGTTTTGCCGTGTCAGTTTAGCTCTTGGATGCCGAGCTGTACCGACAATGGGTTGCCACGTCGAGGTGTATAACTGTTCGTAGAACCTTTCGAGCTCGCTCAGAATCTCTGACTTCGACGAAACGATGCTACCATTTTCGGTCTTCAGTTTCGTCATTTGGCTTTGCCCAATATATGAATTTCTTGCGAATACTTTTGAGCCCTGATTTCGCTCTATGGCATCCCTAACTCGTGCGGCGTTATTTGCGCTCAAGTCGCGTCGCATAGACTTTGAAATTCACCTATTGAGTTCGCCGTATCCAGACATGTCAACAGAAGACTGTAGCCTCGTCTCGTGTCAGTCTTTCAATAATTTGAGTGTTTCTTTTGAGAGCTTTTGAGGTCTATTTCGGCGTGGGATTTTGAAAAACTCTGAGTCCACTGCTTGGACAGTTTCCACTAACCCATTATTTAATTTAACCCGTCAATCGTTTCACACTCAGCCAGGCACTGGAAGCGATTATGCAGTTGGAGCTGGAACTGTTCTGGGTTCTGGATCTAGGCACGACCAGGACGGAGTGTGGACTTCACCAGGCGTGACCTCTCCAGTTGAACATTGATATTCAGTGTGCCTCTGACAATACGGTGATCGCTGCCAGTTTTCACCTTAGCTATCACAGAGACATCACTGAATATACACTCAGGGCCGGTCCTAGGGCGGTGCGAGCGGTGCGACGGCACCGGGCGCCATTACGGTGGGGGCGCCAAAATGAACCAAGAGGCACCCAATTGAGCACACACGAGTTGCACGATATAACCACAAAACAATGCGGGAAGGGCGGTGGAATTTCATCTATGACTTGAATCGTAAATTGTTTAGAGAAATGAGTATTTATTATTAGAGCTTCGACACGGGGAAGTCTGTGGGTCAGTCACACCAAAAGGTCGCTGGATGTCCTGCGCATCCAATATAACAAAATCTTCAGGATGATGTTGGGGCTGCCCCGATTCTGTAGTGCATCGGGGATGTTCGCACTATATCGCGTGGCAGCCGGAACAAAATCCTGGAGACTGTGGCGGATAGATTCTCATCCCCACTCTGGAGGTCATTTGTGAGAAGAGTTATTTAATAATTTTATTTAATAATAATTATGTATTTCTGTATGATTGAAATTTTGAATCTATGTTGACATCTTCTCTTTAAGTTTAAGTATGACTGATTTTAATGTAGGTAATTATGATATTTGACTAAATTTTGTATGACTGCGATGGTATGGTATTAATGACGTATGGTATAGATATTAATTAATTTTATGGATCTCTTAGATGTCCGAAATAAATGATTTTTATTTTATTTTTATTTATTTATTTATTTATTTATATTTAAGAACACTTAAACTATCATTACAGGGCATCACGTACCCTAATGCGACAGCTAAGAACCAAACCAAAAATACAATACAAACCAACACCAACTAAACCAACAATAACAATATATAGAATCAAAAATAGGAAAAAGCTACACATTATTCACCAACATAATTAAAAATTACATGTCATTATTGAAATTATCGAATCTAATAAAAATACATAATATTATTTTACTTATAACACAATATAAATAGTAATACCCTCGCGAATTCACCAAAACAACATGTTAACACATCAATCTGTGCGTGAAGGTCGTTAATGGTACGGATAGCTCTGGTAAGAGGTGCCTTAGCGAGTAAGTTAGTTCTCGCTGTAGGTACCAACAGCAAAGGCGGACTCCGCCGTCGCCACACGTAGCGGTCCGGCACACACAGACTTAAGTGCCGCAATACTGTCGGGTGACTCTCCACTCCACGAAGCACCCTCACCAAGTAGGCGACCAGTGTAAACTCTCGCCGGACATGCAGTTGATTATATCCAACCATACCCAGGATAAATAGAGTGGGATACATCAGTGGGTAAAACGGATATACCCCATACAATCTCTTGTACAGGTGGCGTGTGAACTTATTCTGAACGCTCTCCAGCATTAACGTGTACTTAGCTTCATGTGGAGCCCATATGACCGCACTATGTTCCAGATGACTCCTGACTAGTGCATCATATAGGACTCTAACTGTTGTAATATTTGTGAAGCTTTGTGTCTGTCTCAAAACAAATCCTAAGTTTCTGTATGCCTTCTTACAGATTCTGGTTATATGCTCACGGAATGTCAGATCGGGAGTCATGAAAACACCCAAGTCTCGCACCCCTGTGACTCTTTGCAGTGGCGCCGCATCCACCACATAATCGTAGCGCACCGGTGCACGAGCACGGGTGAAACTCATCAACGAGCACTTGGATACGTTAAAGTACAGCTTGTTTTCATGACTCCATTGTACTATGCGATCGATGTCCTCTTGCAAGCGCCTGCAATCTGCCTCTGACCTAATCTCTAACAGCAACTTAAGGTCATCTGCAAATAACAAACAAGCACCATGTCTTACGACTTCCGGTAGATCGTTTATCATGATAATGAATTCTAGAGGCCCCAAGTTGCTGCCCTGACTTACCCCCGACCAGGTGTAATATAGATCGGATTCACATCCTTTGTAGTCCACGTACTGCTTTCGGCCTTCCATGTAACTAGCAAAAAACCGCAATAGATTCCGCGAGCATCCTACTTCTGCTAGCTTCCGCAGTAATATGTCATTATCGACGGTGTCAAAAGCTTTTCTAAAGTCAAAATAAGCTACATCCACCTGCACTCCCGCATCGACAGCTGGCACCACTCGTCCCATGAAATCCAGGAGATTGGTAGCAGTGCTGCACCCTGACCGGAATCCGTGCTGCGCATCCGATAACTGTCCGCGCACTCGCTCTTGCATACAGCGCTGAATGGCAGATTCGAACACCTTTGCCGGCGTCGACAACACAGCGACTGGCCTATACCCACCGATGTCAGCTCCCGCCCCACCCTTGGGTACTGGAATGACCCGTGTTATCTTCCACCTAGCTGGGAACCTCGCAGACTGAAGACACGTGTTAAATATAAAAAGTAAAGGTTCCGCGAGTACCCTACCACAGTCTTTGAAAAGGAACGCTGGTAGACCATCCGGGCCCGCAGATAGCTTTGGCTTGAGACGGTCGAGAGCACTTCTAACATCCTTAAGACTAAGCTCATTAAGATGTAAACATTTTATTTATTATTAGCAAGCCCCGTACCTATGGAGTATTGCTCTCATTTACGAGATGACTTTGCTAGCTAGAGAATTTAAGTGCATCGAGAGGAGTGCCAAAAGGTTGATCAACGATGATATAAGTACATGTGGAAGCCTTTCGTTTTTATTTTGTAGGATATTTTCAGGTGAGTATGCAGGGTTGTAAATACCAATAAACCAACTTTTTTTTATTTAAAGGGGCGCCATTTTATTTTCCGCACCACCTAAAAATTTTCTTAGGACCGGCACTGTATACACTTTTCGGTTGCCATGATTAAGTTGATCTCATTTTTGGTATATCCATCGGGGCTTATCCACGTCCACCTCCTAACTGGTCACTTTCGGAAGAAGGAGTTCATCAGAAAGAGTCTCTCCCTCTCCATAAATTCGACCAGCCTCGACGGTTTCGCTGTCTATACCCAAATGGCCCCATTCTCAGCTCTTCGCCGTTCCGTGTGCCCACCTTCGCGTTGAAATCCCCAATGACAACGGTGAAGTAAGCTTCGGAAGTGTATATGGCTTGGGAAATTTCCTCATACAGAGCCTACTTCATCATCGCAGTGTGTCGAGGTCGGCGCATATACCTGTACGACCTTCAGCGAATACCGGTGTGATATTCTGAGTATAAGTTACCTACGCTACCCTGCTTGACAGTCAACTTTACTCACGTTGTTGACGAGGGACTTGCGGACGAGAAATCCGACACCACCCTGGGATTTTTGATCTCCTTCCCGAATACTTATACTATAATTTTCATACAGAAAATAAATTCCTTATATGACACAATATAAATATAAAGTGTCCAATAACAAAAACTTTAAAATCAAATTCAAAGAGATGGTTACATTTTTTTATTTTATTTCTAAATGATTTGGTGTTATGTACCCAAATCGTTAACTTATCAAAATTGTATAGGGAGAGATTCGTGAACTCTTTAAATACTTAAAGTTAGTAAGTAGGGTAGGGTAAGTCGGTAATAATGTTGTAATGGCTACTCCAGTTCGACGAAACGTCTTCGAACGACTGCCTCAATAGTAACATAGTTACAAGTGGCCCTGGGCCAACATCTTTTTTCACCGTTGTTGACACAATGGGGGTGCAAAGGCGTGGTGTATGTTAGAAAATAAAACTGGGCTAGACACAATAAAACAATACAATACGAATATAATCTTTAATTATAACCATTGTTATAATACATTTTCACTTAAAGAATAGAACGCAACAACTCCTTAACTATAGGATTTCTCATTGTCCATCCTACACATGTTATACCTATCTATATACAAATCTAAGGTACTAATTTATGTACCCGTAAGGTCAGCAGGATTCCTTGTTTTTTGCAAATGCTATTTTTAAAGTATGATTTGACATGACAATTTTTTATACCTGTACAGGTAATACATCACATGCCACAGTTTTACAGGTATTAACAAGTATGACAAAGGCAGTATAGTCAACCACATAAAGGTGGACTCAGTTGCCATGATAAAAAAATTAACACTTGTTATTGTATGTATTTTTTGCCAGTTTAGACTTCAGCGCTGAATTATATAATACATTGCACATCTGCAAGGTGGTGGTGGGTCCACAATTACTTCTTATTTTATTATCTATTCCTCCTCAGGTTGTGATTGCCGCTTCTTCTTTTTTTTCTTTTCACTCTTAGGTTCCTCTACAGCCTCCTCTGCTTCCTCAACGGGTTGGATCTCTGATTTCTTCTTCTTTTTCTTCTTCTTCTCTGAGACTGGCTCCTCCTGGCTATTGTTTTCAACTTCTTCTTTCACTTCTACTTTAATTTTCTTCTCTTTCTTTGGTGTTACCTGGTGGAAAGACATGGTTTGTAAATATGCAGGTGTTATAAACAACACTTCTGTCTCGTTGGCCGAGGGGTCTCGAGTTCGATTCCCGGGTCGGGCAAAGTAATCGTGGGTTTTTAAAAAATCTCAGTAATGAGACGGTGATGAAAAACCCGGTATATGGCAATAGGTTCACCCCCTATTACATGGGACTCATAACATAAATAGTGAAATGTGGGTCGCATAATGTACACCTCTGTCTTCCCCTTCGGGGATAGGCGTGATGTTATGTTATAAACAATGAAAATATCATACCAGACCAGATACAACTTTAGTTATTTGTTATAAAATTAACATATTAATTAATATAATTTGTTAATTAACATAATTCATATGAAGTGAACAAAAAATATATATATTAATTTAATTTCTAACTAAGTAGTGGAGCCGGCTAACATTGTACCTCCTAAAAATTTTTTTCCCATATTATTTCAAACCTTCCCTGGACGAACATTTCATAACCAACATAAGTGAAATCAGTTCAGCTATTCTAGTTTTAACGAGACGAACAAACGGAAAATTTATTTATATTTATATAGATTAACCCCTGTTAAATGAGTGACACAGCCAAACCACAATAAAAAAATTAAAGTTATGTATATACTTACATCACTAGCACCATCTTCTAGTTTAATTTTCTTGGCAGAGACTGAGGGGCCATCCTCATCGGGTGAGTGTTCACGCTTCACTGGCTTCTGACCCAGGGTGCTGTCTGCAGCAGTCGGGTAGTGGAACACCTCGCTACGGGAAAGAGAATACAAGTCAGTAAAATTACAGAACAAGGAAATCCAATTCAGATTTTTTAAATTCTCAGAATTATTTGATATATTTGGGTGTCTTACAACTATAAATATATTTATATTAGAGTCAGGATAATGTTACTACTAAAACTCACCTCTTGCTGTGGTATTTTTCGAACTTGGCCTTTGCCTTGCCCGTTCCACTAATTCTCCGCAGGTTGCCTTCCTCCAGCAGCCTTAACCTATTCTCTAGTTTTACTTTGTGTTCCGCTCCTAACTCAAACGACACATCTTCTCCGAAAGCATCGACCCTCGTCGCTAGAGCTGCCTTCGCCGCCAACATGCGTGACATTTTGCCTTTGTTCTTAGTACTACACTGACCAACTAGCTGAGCATGGTAGATGAGACCATACTTAGGTGTGTCCTTTTTGGTCTTCAAGGCTCTGAACAAAGCTTTTTCAGCTCCAAAGATCTGTACAGTTGAGGCTGGGTGTTTGGCTAAGTTCATCAGTGACCCAGCATGTGCAATTAACCTAGCTCCAATATGTTCACCGATCAGCACAGTCAGATTGGGTGCCATGGCCATCATTCTAGCTTTCAAGTAATCGGTCAGATGTGTTCTGTAGTCCGTGATAGAGATGATTTCATCACATAGATTCTGAATGTTCAAGATATCATCGTCCGATATCTCAGTTCCCATCGAGATCTCAGCTGCCTCCTTTACTTTCTCCTCCAAGTCCTCCGGAAGAATATCTGACAAATCTGTCTGGGAAGCATTGTCCCTCGTTCCCATCATTTGTATAATTTTTACAAAAAGTGTGTTGTCTGTAATGATCTTACCCAATTCTGGGAAGTGCCATCCATACCACTCTCTGCATCTCATGACATAATTGTTTAGCTCCTTATCAAGATCGTCCAGTAAGCATTGAGCCTGAACAATCATAGTGTCGATTTTGTCAGGAGAGAATTTTAGTTTATATCTTGACAGTGAGTGAGCTAAACCCAGAGCCATAGCTGTCATTTCTTTCTTTGGCAGACCGGCCAGCAGGCTGTCCATCTGTGAGCGGATACATCGGAGCAGCTCCTGAACATTATTGTTGGACACACACTGCAAGTCAAACTTTTCTCTGATGGCACTTCCTAACTTGGCATCACCGACAAGCAGCTGGTCCTGCACTTCCTTGCTAATGTACTTTTTAAGAGCTTTCTTCAATGGTTTGGACACTTTGCCTTCAATGGCTGCTGTGGTAGCTGCAAGAGCTTCAGCTGTGTCTTCAAATTTTATAAAGTTCTTTAGTTTCACCCTGTAAGAAAAGATTTAAATGAAACAAAAAGTAAATAAAAACAAATAAAAGAAATACCATAATAATATGGATTCATTCCATGTTAACTCAACAAGCAAACTTACACTGAAGAAGCTCCCTCCGGTGTGTTGAACTCCTGGTACAAGTCATCAATTTGTGTCAACTTTGACTCGTCCAGCAACTAAGACAAATAAAACAATATTTGAGCAACAAAAATAAAATTTAAATACATCTATTTAAGGGAACTGAGGAACTATGTCATTTGTACTGACACAGATTACAATGAATTTTTAATACAAGTGGTATGGTATGGTAGTGGTAGGCAAGTTTTTTTTAAATATATTTGTTCCAAAAACAGTACATATACTAAACAAGAACAGGACCAGCATCAATCATACAATAACTAATAATCTGGTCAAGTGTCTAAAATATAAACTAAATCCACACAAAAAATACCACAAAATACCTGAAGAGAATGGTGTTGTAGCATTTAAACCTCAGAAACACACCATACTTTTATTTAATAACACATGCATACTGGGTTAGGTAGTATTATTTACAGAACAATAACAACTTCAGTTACATCATTAGATAACAATGACTGAATTAAATACAAAGTTTGTGAGTTTGTCAAGACATAACCTATTTAAGGTTATGTACACAAACATTTTGTGAAGTTGTTAGGATACAATAGTATGACTAAACAGTTATGGGCATGTTTTTATCAAAAGATATAGACCAAATTCATAAAATACTCATGGTAAAGTTAGGCTAAGAGTAAAAGCTGTGTTTACGTACTTGCACCATATTACACAAACTGTGCATAAATTTATATTATTTTCACTGAATGTAATCATGCTTTATCCTATTACATGCACTAAAAATTCTTTTGAAAACTAAAGATGATAGTTTAGAATGATAAAAATAAAATGCTCTCGAAACGTGTTTAGAATATTTTGTCAAACAAAATGATTTCGTTTCCAATGGTCGGAAAGTAAACATTTCAATGGAACTATGTGGTCTGAACGAATTGAATGTTAATTTGTATTGTTTTTACTAGAATTAATATGTAAAATCAGCACTTCATCCAAATTAAAATAGCATTCATTCTTGAGAGGTTAGAAATCACACGTGTTGAATTTACCTTGAAAATAGCGTAACCCGCCGATGTTTCGAATAGCACCAACATCTTGAAAACTCGCAATACTTTATTGTCAATAAATTTCACTTATTCAATACAGTAATAAATACGACAAAAACAACTTAGGTATAATAAACAGAGACGCTACACCAACACCTCCACGCTTCGGCTAACGTTGATTTGACAGCGCGACGCGAGTAGAGAGGGATTGTGACTATTTGTGACGGTAACTGTCAGTGTTGCCACTTACAAAATGTAAAGAAAAAAAAATTTAAAGTTTTAATAAGTGTCATACCGCAATAAAATTACAAATTCAAGTTTTAATACTACTGTTCATCAAAATTCTCGTAATTTAAAATTTATTTGTTCATAATGTAGGTACACATAATACATTTTACCTTTCGGCATGCAGATTAAATTACAATTATATTAAGAATATTGTCAAGTAGGTATATACAGATAAAAAAACAGTGTTTATTACGTCACAAAGTGGATTTTAACATAATAATTGTTAAAAAGGCCAAAATGCTACTAGGCCTTATAAAAATATGATGCAATGTCAACGTGGGTACTTAGTCCATCATACCAGCCTATAAAATAATTACTCGTAATTTAGGCAGATTCGAGTTGGAAGAGTTTATGGATAGTTCTAAATACTAAAACATTAAAGCTAAGTGGTGCCCGGTGTTAGGGACACAGGAACAAATTTTACCGCCTGACGCAGGTAGCTGTTTCTGATAGTCATAGGGCGGAAGGAATTGCCCGTATGTGTTAGTTATGTATATAGTATATGCCTGTTAAGACCGCCTAGGGCCGGAGAACATGTTGGAACATACGGTGGCGGTGTATTATGGTTCCTACTTGCCTACCAATACATCTAAACTATCCTCGCATACCTTACGTACTTGCGACGGCGACCTCTCGCGTCCGGCTCTAGTGCGGGCCATGATGCAGAGCGAGGGGAACTGGGATGCCGTCTCCTCCTTTTGCGAAGCAGTCATGCTAGCTAAGGAGTCGGCGGGGCGCATGAGGCAGCGAAGCGCTACCTCCTCACAACCCAGCCATCGCGAAGGACACATCGGGCGTTGGGGATCACGAGACGATCTCCGGCCACCGTAAGCGCGGGCCTGCGGACGGTGAGCATGGGTGGCTCGCTGCCCGAACACAACCAGACCCGAGCGTACGGCGCATCGCGTTTCACGCGCGCCTCAAAGAGCCATCAAACCACCACGGATGGGCCCAATAGAGCTGATGCCGATACGGAGTAGCGGAAAACCTAACGGGTTACCGGAGCTCCGGCTAGAAGTGCAGGAGTAGGAACGGGGTGGTTTTTAGTCAGTATGAGTCTGACACTTCCTCCCGCCTCACCCAGGTGGGAGCAGCCATTCGATGATTTTCCCCCCTTAAAAAAAATACCTTGTACGTACTTACAAAATTGAATGTAGTCTCCCTACAAGTTACACTTCAAAACTTATTACGAACAGTACTTAAGCGAGTGCCTCCTCCACATCATTACGCGCATAAATATTTGCCAAATGGATTTTTGTCTGCGCGCCTCGGCTCGCCTCGAATCAGACGCTCGCTATGTGAATTCGGAAATTCAATAATTCTGCATAAAGGCATGCATCCACTCGCAAGTGGGGTGAATGATTGAGCGAATGAACGAGTGAATGGATTCCATCGAGTGGAGCGGTGAGTGAACGAGCGTCTGCATCAATCCGAGTAAGGAACGTGATTATTTTGTGTATTGGATGTCCCGATTGAAACGTAGGTGTTTCGTTATTTTCAAACCATTTTAGGCTTACACAAGATATTAGATTGCGCTGAATGCTTTTATATTTTTCTATGAATTGATAGGCGCCTCTACTCTCCAAACTGAGTGAAAACACCAACACAAACACGTGTAGGTACATACTCCACAACGTTGACTGCAAATAAAAGACAGTACTTACTTAGTATGTATTTGTCTATCGCATCATATTCAAGTGTCTGGGTAGGTAGCTACCAAACTCCTATACCACTCGATCACTAGTCTTTAAGGAATGTCTATGTTTAAGTTGAAAAGTCGGCCGAGAGTTGGACTCTTGCTCCGAGGGTTCCGTAAAATTACTAACTTCATGTTTTTTTTTTTAATAAATAAAAATTGAATTTCTCCACGGACTCGTGTCCGTGCCCTTGTCATATTACAAGTACATACTATCTATGGTCAAATATATTTTTTTTTTTTATAAAGATCTTACATGCTACGCCTACCACTATACTACACACAATACTTTATGTTGTTACCTAATTATTATAGTCTTATTATCTTAGACTAACCCTACTGAATCAGCCCACCAGCACGATGAGCGAGCCGACCTGTTCCAGCAGAAGGCACCCGTTCACGGGTATGACTTCAATCGTCCACTAACTTCATGTTAGTTCACCTTCACTTCACTTGGCCTCGGGTTTGGGCAGCCTAAGCAAGACTCAAGAAGATTAACAATATCTATGGGTTTTAATTTACCAGACACAATACACTCTTATGTGATTTTTACTAGTACTAAAACCTGACGATGATATAATTACCCTATAATATACATATATCGTACATAAATAACTTACCTAAATATTATGTTTAGTATTACCTAGTTATCTGCAATATTAGTGTATGTCATTTATATTGTGGGTTAGCAAAATATGAACATTAAACAAACACTACCTACTCAGCTACTATAGGTACCTCCCCGCGCAGTGCGGCGAAAGGTAGGAAGGGGTCTTACCCAGGCATGAGGTAGATTTAATTTAACGCCTTTTTACATCTTCCGTAAGTGCATCTAAAAATGAAAAAGCTTGAAAGAAAGTTATGGGAGGGATTTTAGGTGTAAAATCTTAACGATTCCATGTTTACAGCGAGTCGTTAAAGCGAGCCGGGCTAATGTGCGCCGACAAGGGTCGCCCAGGGGAACGATTAGCCCGGAGTATCGACAAGCGATCCGCAGCGAGGGTTCGGCTACTTGATGGCTCACCGCAACACACCTGACGACTGCCAGACCCGCGTTTTATGAGCTCGGTGGTGACAGCCGGCCGGAGAGATAAATGTTGCCTATCGTTACCGTTCTAGATGTTACCTGCCTTTAGATTTGTAGACCACCATTTTCGTTTGATCTTTATAAATAGCTGCTTTCGAATATAAAATCTTTGGAGGAAAATGTCTCGGGGTAACTTATTGAAATAATTTGCAACTGGAAAAAGGCACCGCAAGTTTAACGCGCCGACACGCGTGAAATAAAAGTTTTTCACGTGTTTCTTATCTAATGTGATATTTTGTTGTGGTGGCGTGATTTCATGAGCTTGACTAACTGTAGGTTCTTTTTTGTCTAAATATCCCTTCAAATAAAGTATATGTGGACAGAATAGTAATATTTTAGTTATTTTGTCTCTACTTTTTAGGTAAACAAAGAGTTGTACACAAACAAAACGTCTGCCGTAGAAGATCAAATTACTAAAGTAGGTACTTGACACAGTGGATGCCGTACGAACATAATTCTCACTGCGAAGTCTATCTCGGCGATATTGACGAAAATTGCCGCCATTATCAGGCATACGCCTAACGTAATGGTGTGCCTAAAGCCGGCTTGGCCGGAGTAGGGCGGCACTAAGCCCGGCCTAGTAAATATCTTACAATATACATAGCTTATATCTCCTGTGCGGTGTGCTTTTATTCTACTAATAATAGTTCCATGTCCCCTTACTAACCTCCTAATCCAAAGAGGATTCATTCATTTTTGAATTATGTAGTTCAACAAACATTGATCTTCTACTCATCGATTTGAATCTCTCAAATTGTTTATCATATATTTTTTTCATTTTAATCAATTTTAATATGATCAGGCTGCCATCTATAAGCAAAACTTCAATATTGATGCCACTCCTAAGTTCTTTCTCTCGATGGTAGAATTACTTCCATCCGGAGTAGCGACGTACGTGATCGCGGAGTAATACTTCGTTTTAATATTCTCAAGGATTTTATTAATATTGGTTCGCATGTTTAAAATGTAAAGAAACCAACATCAGAACGAAAGGACTGTCAGTTATCTTACAGCGCATTAGTGTGATATGAGTTTAAACTAGTATCTGGCAGTGGAACGTTTAATAATTACAACAATTTAGGATGTTTGCAGACTATACGGCGCGCTAATTACCAGTCAATTTGATCGCGTGTCGGCGCCCCGGCGATTGATTTATTTGCTAGTGTTGTAACGATTGCCACCTCATTATAATGATGATCCGACAAATTAGACGTCAATGAGCCTGCTTTTAATCGTTAAATGAGATTTGTTGCAGAATGTTATTGAAGGGTAGCCAATTTCTGTGCGGTCCGCGAATTTGACGCACGAGTGAGCTGCCAGCTACTCCGACTGTCGTTTGTTTCATAAAGCATGATATAACAATATGTAAGTATAGCACAGTACATACATGTATTAGGTACATGAGTCTTTGTTTCAGGAAATAAGAAACACAAGTGATGCGTATACATCTATTTTTCTTTTTCTTTCTTATGGGGGCTAATTTTCGGTAATTTGACGTCTATAGATGACTCAATTGCGTTAGAAAGTAGTAGGTAGTTACATTGAGTTTTAATTTGTTTGATTTGACCTTAACACGACGTAAATGTCAAATGTAATATTTAAATTAAAATTAAAATATAATATCTCTACAATTTATTCAATTTTATTTTTTCACTCTAAGCGCATTACAGAATCAATTATAAAGGTCATATTTTATATTCAACGTTAATAGGATTGGGCCAGTATTCCCACGGGTAGGGTCGTGTTGCCTAGATGTGGCGCATCATTGATTGTTGCCCGACTGTGGCGCGACCGGGCGACATGTCGTAGTCCCTAATCCCGGAACGGCTGGCCAGCTTTAAGGCTTAATCCCAAACTGTGTAGTTTTAATGAAGCGGAAAATGATTGCTTTCTCGGACGTAAACCAATGGAAGGTGTAACGTGTGTTCGGTGTGCCAAGAAAATACCTATTATAACTAATTGTTGTTATGGTTACTCAACGTGTCTCACACTCTCGCCTATTTGAAGACTAACCTTATTTGTCGCTAAGTATTCGATGGTCTCTCACCTTAAAATATATTTCACATCAAAAATAAATGTGTAAAAATACGACATTTCTGCCTACATACATTGTGAATAAGCAATTAAGTACAAAT